TGAATAGTCAAGGTGTTAAAACACCCAGCAGAAATAGTCCAATGTGACAATAACACACCATTAGCTATGCACCAGGTATACAATAATGAGCACCACGCCATGGCTGGCACACCGTCCATCAGGCAAGAATACAGCAGGACCTTGTGTCGCTTTGAAAGCTGCCAAGGCAACTCCTTTGTTTCAGATCTTAAAACCAGCACTGCAGTCACACAACAGGATATACCCGAGGACTGAAGTAGACTGCAGACTGCACAAAGTCTGCACAGTAAACTACGCGCTCTATCTGCCAGCAATCGATTTGCAAGACTCTGACAGTCAGCTTCGAACTACACACATGAGAACTGTATCAGCAACCCTAGTGCCACAACGCTAAACTCCTCAAAATTTTGAACTTGAGTTGGTAGATTCACCCGAAAGGGTTGCCCACCTCCTCGATGTGCTTTGCTCTGAGCTCCTCCCTGTCGGCAACATGCCCCTCCTCTTCCTCCAGGTCCTTCACCCGGCCGTCCAACAGGTCTAGCTGGCTCTGCACTGACTCGCGCCACGACTGCACTGCCCACTGGAAGTGGTCGTACTGGTCCTTGGTGCGCCGCGCGTCCTTGCCCAGCTCCTGCACCTGTGGCCTCACCTCGCGAAGGTGGGACTCGTGCAGCGAGAGGCGTTGGTCCAACTCAGCCAGCTGCCTGTTGGCAAAGGTGTGTACACACGTTCACTTCCAAACATCAGGCTTCCACGCTCACTAACTGCGCAGATGTGGGAAGGCAGTGCCCTGCAACCTATTGGGGCTTTGTCAGGTGGCCACAAGCACGCACTTCAATACAATCGAGTGGCAAACCTATTTCAGGCACTAAAGCATGCCTGCCTGTGACACTAACATTTACGGAAACCATATTCCATTAAATGAAGCATTAGAAAAGCAGACATGTGCTGTCTGTACTACGCATTCCAGGCGGGCACCACCACAGAAGCTGTTATGACATAGTCGTGACAGCACATCAACTCAAAAGAGCTTTAGCAGTCGAAAAATCTTAGTAAACAGGAGCATATTCACGCTACCGTCACCTGTCATGCCCATCGATCTCCACTTGCACCTCTCCTGCCTCCTCCTTGCTGTGCGTGAACGCGTCCTCGAACATCTCCATCCTGCCGCTCAGCTCCCTCAGCTCGCGCTGCAGGTCCTGAACCTGTGTCAGCTTGGTGGACGTCCTGGGAGAGGCCTTCGACTTCATCGACTCACGCCCCAGGGACTTCTGGCTGGACGACCTCTGCAGCACAGCAGTCCTGTTCCTGCCGGCGTTCTGTGTCTGGCCCCGGCTGTTCTGCTGCGCCTTGGTGCCATCGGGCGATGAGGTCAGCTGGCGGATCTTCCTGGCGCTGAGGGGCTGTGGGGTTGCAGGTGCCCCGTTGTGCTTCGGCTCAGGCGATGGGGAAGGCGATTTCCGGCCCCGCCTCCTTGCGCTCAGTGGCCGAGGGGAGACCGGCCCCGTGCTGAGCTTCGGCTCAGGCGAGGATGTTGATGTCCGGGAGTTTTTCCGCGCACTCAGTGGCTGGCCATTCTGAGCCTGCCGAGGGTTCTTCCAGCTGTCCGACTGGCCACGCGGTGTGCGTGGCTTGGCTGCCTCGATTGCAGATCCCTGCTGGCTCTTCAGGAGGTCGATCAGGCTCTCAAAGTGCTCTGGCACATACTCGATGGGCGTGTGGCCATCCTGCAAGGCGCACACAGGCACATTGCCCTCAACAATGCAAATGCATCAGCAAGAACAGTCCAACAAGAAGCCCCCAGTGGGTATCAATTGTTGGCTGCAAACATTCTAAACTGGGGAATGCCAATTTCTCGACTCCTACCCACTCATCTACTGTGAGAGCTGGTTAGATAGCAGTGGCAAGTCCTCCAAAACACCCAAAGTGACACCCATCACGAACTGAGGTGCAAGCAAATAGGCTTCCAAGCACAGAGCATTTAATGCACAAGCGATGTCTCGTGAAGCACAAGGCTGTGGGCAACACTTGAGCTGCTGTGCACAGGCACAAAGAGAATGGACATAGCCCCCAAACCATGTGCTGCATGAAAATACACACGAGTCACCGAGTTGGAGCACATTAACTTCTCGATTTCTTTTTCAAGCAAGTGCACTGTTTGCTCTATTACATGAAGCTGGGAACTAATTTTGCCAACACTCCTGTCCCTTGCCTGAAGCTTTTTTGGTTGACGTCAAACATCAAGGACTGCTTTGATCAGCATCGACTTAAGCGAACAATCTGCTCAGGGCCAGCTACTAGAATCCCAGTGAAAGATAGCCCCATCAGCATGAGTCAGGCCAATGAGGACAGCTCCAATCACCTGCAGCCCCACAGCAACTCCTACCACCCCACCCACCTTGTCCTTCACGTCAGTCTGCGCTCCTGCAACCAACAACTCTTTCACAATGTCCTCCAGGCCACCAAGAACAGCGACATGCAATGGCGTCTGGCCATCCCTATTCTTGATCCGCACGGCCGTCTTCCGGCCTGGCCCCAGGAGTTGCTGTACTGTTTCCAGGCTGCCACTGTCGCAGGCCAGGTGCAGGGGCGTGTTGCCAAAGCGATCTTGCGCGTCGTACCGCGCGCTGCGCTGCAGCAGCTGCTTGACTATGTGATCAAAGCCGTGCCAGGAGGCTACGTGCAGTGGTGTCCTGTTCTCCTGTGGGGCCAAATATCAAGATAATCAGTTGACTGAAGCCAGAAAAGCCACAAAACCAGCGTATGCAACTGCACAACGGCACAGCTTCAACAGATGTGTTGTTGTCTGTATAAGAATCTGTATGCATCCAAAATCCACACAAATGATGTGAGGCAAAACTTGGCCTCAGTGCTATGCATGCACCTTTCATGTTCATGGACACATGTTATTCTGCAGCTGGACTATACAATACGGAAATTCTGGGGAAGGTAGGTGGCAGTCGGCTCATTGGTTTCAGTGCTCATTACTGCCATTCTTCACTTTATCACTGAGCAGCAGGAGAAAACATTCCAATGATGATGTCACCACTTGAAACTGATAAAATGCAAAGCAGTGTTAAGGGGTGACACTGAATTCCTTTCTCTCGTCCACTTGGCTGTGGAGTACAAAGCTCACCCTTTGCCCCAAATATACAGGCAAATGGCTGTTGGTGGTTATCTCATCGCGCAGTGGCTAGACACTGTCCTATGCTCTAATCCCCTTCGAATATAAGGAACACACCCCTTGCACATGTTGCTATGCTTTCCTAACACTTGCAAATAAAGTGACAAAAAACTCCACCTCCACCTTACAGGCGTTGGCGTGCACAACTCCAAGTGCATTGCTTGTTCTTCCCTTCAACCAGAAAATGATGACCTTGCACATTTAGTATGATATTACCATCGTGTGTGTCTGGCGCACCAGTTTTGATGACACATAAGCTACAACTGACTGCATTCAACTGAATGGTAACCGACAGCCAACAGTTACACAGCCTGCATGGGGCCGAAATGCCACAAACAGGGTCTTGGTTCGATTTTTTTGCCACGTTTCCAAAGGCAGAGAAGCCAAGGGCCTTGAAGTTCAAAATGGATGGATCGAAGGTGGCCTCGGTGACAGGCAAGAACCAAAGGTTTCTTTGCACAAGTCGTGTTGCGCAAAGGACTGTCGAAGGGATGAAATATGCAAGCCAAGTCACCACGTCCACAGTGGTGAGAAGGAACAATATCTCACCCCAGCATTGACGATGTTGACACAGTTGGGGTTGGACGCCAGCAACTTCCTCACAGCCACCAGGTTGCCCCTCTCCACTTCTCTAAAGACCTGCTGAGACATATTGATCTACTTCCCTGCACACACGCACCGCACAGAAATTCGCTGAATTCTGCCTGGTATGCAGGACACGCTAGGGGTACAGGCCAACCCAACTGCACCAGTGCCTTCCTCAGCAGACACCACAGAGCAGTGTGGGAGCACAACTTCTCCCCACAATAAGCTTTGGATCTTGTGCAATGCTTTGTCATGTTTTCCTTACTAATCAACAGAACAACAGAGCGCTGCATCTGCTCTGGCGTCCCAACGTTCCCCGGGCCTCTGGCTTCCCAACACCGGCGACCAAGACAAAGAACCATCTCCATGACATTCACGCCAAAGGGCGTGACTGCCGCGCCGCATAACACGAAATTCCTCCCATCGGAAACGAGCAATCCGCCTTCGAAATGTCTCCCTGGGTGCAGCCCATCCGGACGGCCCCGCCACAGGGTTGCCGCGCGCCTGACTCCCATCCAAGAGGCAGGCGTCGACCGCGCCCGAAGCAGCAGCCCTGCCAGCCGGCCGAGGGCAAACAGTCGCCAGCTCATGTCTGCTGCTGCGGATCGATCAGAATGACAGCACACAGGCGCCAAGGCGTATGCAACGCTTCTGATTCCAACCTCCGACCCACCCACACCACCACCATCCCGGCACTTGCTCTCCTCGGGTCGATGCGGTTACAGCCAGGTTCCGCCACAGGAGGCGTCGGCCTTCGATTGGCGCACCGGGGCAGCCAGCCGCACGACGGTAGCGGGTACCCAAGCACAAGCCACTCGCCATCCACCGACATGCGTCGCCCGCACCGTTCTCCAGATTCCAGACGACAAGGTAAGGCAGCACGGGGCCAGCCGCAGAAACCACTCCCTGCGTGACGATCGGGCATCCCCCACGCCCTGCCGCCGTGCCCGTCTCACCGCACGTCGCCCAATCGAACCCAGTGGACGGAAAAAGGAGGCCAGAACGCCGAAGGGAGACTACAAAACAGAGACGACGCGACGAACCGGGCGGACGACCAGCCAGCGGGGCTCCGCGCGTCGCGGCGCTGGCGCTCCGAGATCGCATCCTGCCATCCCGTCGCCCCCGCTCCCGCGCGCCGCACAGGGCTCCCCGTGTGACCCGCATTCGGAACTCTCCGCGCAGGCGGGGCGAACGCGCAGCGACGCATGCGCCCGTCAGGCCGCACTTCCGGAGAGCCGCATCGCTTCGGACCCAGCCACCCGCGCCCTCCGGCCCCCTGCCCGCCCCCGTCAGCTCATCCCGCCACCTGGGCCAGCCGCAAAACCACCCACGCGCACCTCCCCGCCCACAGCATATCTCCCCCACCGCGCCCCCCGCCCCACTCCTCACACCCACCAGCCATTCCCCCACCCCCTTCCACCTCAGCCACGTCCCAAGATTCCAAGGCTCCCCACACTCGCCCTGATCCTCCTACCCCAAATCCCGGCCAGAATTTGGCGTCACACTCACCCACGCACCTCCGCCGATCGCCCGCGGGCCACCACGGCAGCCCCGCCCACGCCGCGCAGCCTCCGGGCGCCGCACTCCTTTCTTTCCCACCTCCTCTTTTCTGCGGCCCCCTGCTTTCCCTCACCCGCGGCGGGTTGCCCACTGACCGGGGTGCCGAGAATATTGCGGGCGCGGACGGCGTCGCCTTCAGGCCCAAGGGGGGTGCCGATGTGGGGAGTTGGGACGTGGCGCGCCTCTGGACGGACCTGGGGGGGCCTAGCGGGCGGAGCCGCGCATCTCAGGGTTTAGGAGAGGGGCGCCCGACATGAAGTGCGAAGCCCAGGGTACTGGATCAGGCCACTCACCGGAGGCGTACTGCAGTAAGCGCGCCTGACTCACGTCCCGCTGGTGCCGCTCCTGCAACAGTGTTCGGAAACTGGTTCGCGGCCACCCGATTTTCATGTTCGGACGTTTTGGAGTTCTGTGCACTAAGAGCATCTTTACCGGTGGGTGCTATTGTCCCGGCGGAGCTGTTCGGCTCTCCGAATAGCACCGCACGTCAAAAACCATCATTAACCGGTCATTAACGGTTGGGGAGCAATAGCACCCCAATAGCACCCCCGGAGCTATTCGGCGCCGAGCGGCGCTATTTTGGCCCCGAATAGCACCGCTCGGGGCCGAATAGCACCCCAGAATAGCGCCGGTGCTATTCGCGCAGAATATTGTAGTGCTGCAGGGATGCTATTCATCGTAGGCATAGCACCCACCATTGCGGATGCGCGCAAGGGAGCAGTAGCACCAGCACTATTTGGCAAATGCCGCCTTAGTAAGGTGGCATGGCAGCCGATGAGAACCGTTTCTGGATAACTCCGCCGGTGCAATAGCGCCGACCGATAAAGATGCTCTAAGTCGACCAAGCTCGATCACGACGTCGCAAAGCAAAGCGCTTTTGCTTTTGGTGGGACGGGCGAGGCGGTGGGCTACATGTTAGGGACCGTAGAGTGCACAGACGCGCACGGTCGTCACGGTAGCCCCAAGCAACAAGGCGGGAGGCAAATTATTTCATGCGACCGGCCATTCAATTACAAAGATCGGAATACCTTTTCCAGGGCTGTCAAGGTCCATGGATCCGGTCAAGCTCAAAAAGGGATGATTCCAACCGCATCAAATATCAAAGTCTGCAGGGAGGATTCATCAAATTCAATCATAATTGTCATCACCAGCCTGAGGCAAAAATAGCGCCCCAGCTTCACCAAACCAAATGTATACACCGAACGAATGTCGTGCATGCGATGACATTCAACGGAGTCAATCAAATTCCATTTCGACTTCACAGTGCCAAACCACTTTTGCTTCTGTCCCCGCTCGCCAACTGGCTTGGACATTTCTTCCCATGTATTATCATCGACAAACGTTTCTCGGTTATGTGAATTAATGATTTCTGGACTTTGTTTGTGTTTGTTGAACAAAAGGCCCTTGGCTGCCGGCGAACGGGCATGGAGAGCTATAGGATGCCGGACGCGGAGCCCATCACCCAATGGCAACTACCAATTTGCTACAAATTGGCCAATAATTTGGTTAAAAAACCCTAAAAAATTCCTAAACCTAATCCTAATACTAAAATCTTAAACCCTAATAATTGGTAATAACTATAGTTCATTCCATGAGTCCCTAAAATACAATGAACCGTCCAGGCTGCAGCGGCGTAGGGGGCTCAATTTTTGGGACTCTTTACCAAACAATAGAATCAATAATCTGCTTTTTTTATCTGTGTGCTTTAGGTTTGAGTTGAGGGATGCCGGTTCCTGTTATAGGCACATGCCAACGGCCGTTGCATTATGGAACGCATTGTTGAGTGCTCAAAGATTTCGAAATATCTGGTTAGGGTTTGCCGCCAGTACTTAGTAGAGAGCATGCGCCGGCTGGTTCGTCGAGGTGCCGGAAAGAAAACGCTACTGGAACAACATGATGTGGAAGTTTGGCCAAGCCCAGGAAATACGGTTACGGCTCAAATCTATAGTAGGCAAAACATACATGTCATTCCGCATTTATTAGCGGCCTGAATGGGCAGGCTATAATTGGCCTAACCATGTGTGCTTGGACTTAAACAGCAAGCCAGTAGCAACAACAATACGCGAGACAGCTCATGTACTACTCATTCATGTCAAAAATTAAGGCAAGGCCTTTCGAGCAAAGGTTTTCAGTGCTTGCAAATTTTGAATAAAGGCGACGCACAGGTTTTCTGACAGCAGGTAATAGGACCTAACTGGAAACCTAAACTGAAACATATAACCCAATATTGAGCCAAGAATGAGTCAGCTTCAGCTCTGGCAAAGGCACCTGCGAGATGGTCCATTGGAGTCAATATCATCATGCGCACTAGTAGCGTGTGGTTGTTGGCCTCAAAGTGTTGAACTGCTCCCTGTTTCGCATTCCTCTTTCGTTAGCAGAAAGCGCCATAATTGTGATGCCAACTGCGATGCCATTTGACACTAAGTGGCGCGGCCACAGTGATTGCGGTGGCAGAAAGCCAGCTGCGGTGGGATCAATTAGTCTCAAATGGCATCGCAGTTAGCATCGCGACAGTGTCGTTTCTGCTGGCGCACAGGTCAGGACTTGTCGAGCAACGAGCTTCAAATTTTCGCGGACAAGTTTAATGTGCAGCGTGGAAGCCCTCTGAGCAGCATGAACTGAAGTGCGGGCCCAGGGAACCAGAAACTGAGTCAGAATATGTTGTGTGCAGAGCCTTTTCGTCAAGGCTATGACATGCTCCCCTGGTGTTCAATAAATTCTGCACCAAGCAGTGCGGTTTCGGGGACACATTCTGGACAAGTTCTTGTTCTTGGCATGTTGAGCCTCTCCACTGCGCTGGCGCGAAACGTTTCTTCACTGCTAAAGTATTTTTTTGTTGAATACGTTGTGCTCGTAATATCACTGAGACACGCGCGATTCTCAAATCAAGGGAAGCAGAATTTTGGCACTTGTGCCTTGCTGCATGAGCACCTGCCGAAAATAGCAACTTGCAAACTGTACAATTACAACACGGGAACACCTAAAAAGAAGAAAAAATTGACTGTGACTCACTGAGCATCCATGGACGAACTGACAGATTGATATGAGAAGCAAGTCACACAGAGAGGCCGAATCAAGGAACAGTGATAATTGAGGGATACACGTTGTCGAGGTCAGCTAGCTCGAGGCGGTGAAAAATACTTGCCAGATATTTTACTTTCACTCTGTCTTTTCAGGGTCATTTCTGCTGAAAAATGACGTCCCCTGTTCATATTTTTGTCGCATGAGGTGTTACATCGTTCGCTGAGTGCGTCACGCCTATTCGAGCAGCCCTTTCGGGGTAACGCATGGCCATGGCCATGCACGGAAGATTGGTTTTTTGCTCCCTGCTGGCGGGCGATTATTTCAGGGTCTGTTGAACATGTCCACACGTCCCAGAGGACAGTCTGGACAATATTCAGATTGCAAAGCAGCCATGGAAAATCTGTATTCCAACCAACACTCCAAACAGGTCTCAGATTATGTACATAATCTGACCAAATGCAGTATTCACTGCCCGAGTGGGG